TAGTCCAAATAAGGTACAAACATAGAACAGTAAAGAGTATGGAGTGACTTCTGATCCACAATATTTTTAACTCTTGCCAATATAGATATACTTTTAGCCAATTTATTATGTATATATTTAATATGAGGTTTCCAACAGATTTTATCATCAATATTTATGCCTAGAAATTTTGTTTCGTAAACTCTTTCTATATTGGCATCCCCCACCCTTACTTGAATCTGACGATTTAATCTTCCATATCCAAACAGCATGAATTTTGTTTTGTCCAGATTTAGTGATAACTTATTCCTGTCACACCATTTCTTCACCTTGTCCAATTCCACAGTAATCACACCCAAAAGTTGCTGTAGGTCTTCCCCAGAGGCCCATATAGTAGTATCATCAGTAAATAGTACAAAGTTCAATAATTCAGAAACATTGCATATATCGTTAATATACAGTATGAAAAGTTTAGGAATTTGATTTCCTTGTGAAAACATATTTCTTTCACTTGCATCTTAGTCTCTACCATGTAAGATGCAAAGATACAATGCTAAGGAAAAAATGCAGGGGGGTTATTTGAAGTGACATCAGTTTCTGATGTCAATGGCACAGCTGGATCAGCTGTCAGTCCGCAGGTGATGGAGCCTATGTCTTAGAGTTTTTATTTGGACAGAAAATGTGAGGGTCTGACCAAGGAATAATAACTAGTGTCAGCACAGAGGTGTAATGAAGTCTGCAGCATGGAAAAAGTGAATGTGAACTATCTCTAAGTTTCCCCTGGAATAAATAGTTTGACAAGCATTTGCCCATTAATTAAAAACCATCAAAGCACAGTTTGTAAAGTTACTGCTTAGAGAGTGAAAGCACACTAACCAACAAGGTTTTATTCATCTTATAATTATTTACATCTGCATTCATTTATATTCTGCTTGTAAATTCTTTATGTAATTATTTAGGTTACAGTGTTTATATTCTGCCATCACTTAAGAACAGTTGAGATTCTTTTCTTAGGCAGATAGATCATTCATCCACACACATATAACCGGAATGGTTTTTATTTTTCTCCATTCAGTATACTGTGCACCAAGAATTCACAGTAAACTACAAAATAAGAACACAAAATATGATTATCCAGCACATGCCACAGATACTCTGTTGGTTTGAGATCTGGGGGAATTTGGACAAGGACAAGTCAACATCTCGAACTCATTGTTGTACTCCTCAAACCATTCCTGGGCTATTTCTGCAGTGTGGTAGGGTGCTTTATGCTGCTGAAAGAGGCCACTGCCATCAGGGAATAGTTTTGCCATGAAGGGGTGGACTTGGTGTGCAGCAGTGTTTAGGTAGGTGGTACAGTACATGTCAAAGTAACATCCACATGAATGGCAGGACCCAAGGTTTCTGAGCAGAACATTGCCCAAAGCATCTCACTGCCTCCGCAGGCTCACCTTCTTCTCTTCTTCTTCTTCTTCCTAGTGACACACACACATGGCCATCCACATGATTTAAAACACAATGTAATTCATCAGACCATTGCTTTGTGTTCCAGTTCCCTTTTGGCAGGAGACTTGACTCTGACCGGTGTGTGGCTACAAGGCCCCATACAGAGTAAGCTGTGATGCAGCTGTGTTCGGACACCTTTCTATAAGAATCACCGTTATGTTTTTCAGCAGTTTGTGCAATAGTAGCTCTTCTGTGGAATCAGACAAAACAGGCTAGCCTTTGCTTGCCCTGCGTATCACTGAGCCTTGGGCGTCCATGACCCTGACATCAGTTCACTGTTCCTTAGACCACTTTTGGTATGTAGTAACCACTGCAGACTGGAAACACTCAACAAGACCTGCAGTCTGGGAGATGCTCTGACCCAGTCAGCCATCACAGTTTTGTCCTTGTCAAAGTCAACGAGATCCTTACACTTACCCATTTTTCCTGCTTCCATCCCATTCACTTTGAGGACTGAATGTTCAGTTGCTGCCTAACATACCCCACACACTGGTATAATATGATATAAATGAAAACCAATAAATGTTTCAGGTTATACATAAACTGAGGGGGAAATACTGGAAATGCTTAATAATAAATAATAAATAAAGGCATCTCTGGCAAACTTAGTAAACACAAGACTTTACAACAGCTTTTCTCCTGCCGCAGTACAACTGATGGCAAATACAAAAATGTGAGAAACATGTGCAATAACCTCTTATTACCTCACTAAATGAAATACCATAACAAATTCCATTGTGTGAAATACTATGTGCAATACTTGAAGTTCACCATCTCATCCATTATTTGTTATCTTATTTGCTGTATTGCATTTTTATCTTGAATGCGTTTTTATTCTATGTCACTCTTACGTAACTTTATTTTCAGACGATGTTCTTTTCTGGCTTTTAACCCTTTACCTGACTCCAAGAGAACTGCACAAGAATTCCTATGTGCCTAGACTGTCTGTTTATGCATAAATGGCAAATAAAAATTTTGAGCCTTGAGTATATTTTAACTAACTGTGAATCAGAACTAATTTGTGGTGGCTTTACACCTGATTTGAGTCTGGTATTTGCCCTGGTATAAAACTGCAGTGATGTATTATCAGATCAGTGCTATCAGTATCCAATCACAAACAGATTTCCAATGAAACAGTGTGTTGGTTTGTTAAGACTTTGATGAAGGACAGTCTCTTGTCATTACTCACGTCTCCTGCAGGCAGCCACCTCACTCCTCAATTCTTGTTGCTCCAAACAGCTATAAGGGAACTGACACATCAAGGGATGTTTACAATCAATAAAATGAACCAAAATAGAGGCTAATGACAGCAACTGTGCTGTGAGATCAGTTATATGGTCATTTAAAAGAAGAGTCAAAATACCACTTTGCTGTGACCTCTTGATGCAGTGTGGTAGGGTGTTTTGAGACAATTGCTGAGATGAATTCACCCCACTGAGGCAGAAATGGGGGGTTGGAGGTCCATGTGAGAGAGAGAGAGAGAGAGAAGGTGAATGAGAAGAAACAGCAGTGTTGGCGAGAACAAAATGAATTGGAGAATTGTGGATATTGTGATTGTTTAACTCTGGTTACACTAATAAACACAGCCACACCTCTGTACAACCCTGTGGGAAGGATTTTGTGTGAAAGCAGCCAGAACACAATCTCTGTGTAAAAAGGGCTAAAGACAGTACACCAGAGCTGTGTAGCATGACATGAGTGGTAAGACCAGCAGTCATGGGTTCAGTGGTAATACTACATGTTTTCTCTATTACAAAGCTTTCCAAGGGATATGGCTCAAAACCATCCTGCAATGAGGTATGCTATTCTTTTGTTGCAACTGCTGAATAAATTACTCCTTCATTGTGATGTCCATGATGTGAGTTGATTCCCCATCCAACTCTCATGGTACTCCATACTGACACTGATTGTGAGTTAGGCTTCTCCTTGTGGAGATAGCAGCTGGTGGTCATTGTAATTTCTTGATGGAACCACCATCTTTTGCATATGCCTTGTTCCTGCATGTTTTCTTTATTCACCGTGTGTTCTTGTCAATCTGATGTTATCTCTCACACTATCTGAATAGAAACTGGAGGCCAGTGTGCGGTCTGACCCAGTCACAGATTATATGTTTACATTGTACAGGATGGGCCACGTATAATCTGTATTTCTGCAGTTATGCCATGTAAGAAAAGCAAAAAGGTGCCATCCAGCGACCATTTAGGTACAAATGTGTTTTTGGCTGTCTGCTCTCACAGTGAAAGTTGATGAGTCACTGCTAGGCAGCAGTTCTGTGAAAATGTAGAACTGATGCAGACTAAAACAAGGAAAAGTTTAGATACAGGTCTGAATTTGGAAGCAAATGAAGGATCAGTGTTTGGTTTTTTAAGCAGTGGATTAAATGTAGCATGCTTAAGTGCAGCTGGAACATAACCTGAGCTAAGACTAAGATTAAAGAGGTTAACAAGATATGGCCCAATGGTCTCAAACAAGGCTTTGATCTAAACAGTTGGAATAATATCCATTGGGCAATTACATCTGCTGTACTAACTTAGTAACTTGAAGGAGAGACACTGACTCAAATTCCTCCAGAACAGCTGAGCAAGTGACAGTGATGGTGAGATACCATAATGGACTGTCTAACACACGTGTCAAACTCAAGGCCCGTGGGCCACATCCAGCCCGGCGTACAATTACATCCGGCCCGCGAGATCATTTTATATATCTTTTTTTTAATGGCCCGGCGATATGAAGCGCTGATAACACACAAACTACAAATCCCATAATGCAGCGCAACAGCTGCCTTACCGAATGATAGGCTACCTGCGATCATTCCCACGTCAATTACGTCAGATCAATCAAGCGTCTGTCGATGTATACAACCCTAATTTCAAGTCAAAGCTAGCCCCTAACAATGGCCAAGAGAAAAGTTGATTCTGAAAACAGAGCCTTTCTAAACCGGTGGGAGGCTGAGTATATGTTTACTGACATTGTCGGTAAACCTGTGTCTTATTTGTGGAGCTAATGTGGCTGTAATTAAGGAATATAACCTAAGACGGCACTACGAGACAAAACATCAGGACAAGCTGAAAAACGTGAATGAAGAGCAGAAGCTACAGAAGGTAGAGGAGTTGAAGAGGAATCTGACATCACAGCAGACGTTTTCACCAAAGTGAAATCACACAGTGAAGCTGCTGTGAAAGCAAGTTTTATTGGGACAGAGGAGAAAATCAGCCCGGACATTTACCGAGGGAGAGTTTCTGAAGAGCTGCATGATGAAAGTGTGAGACGTCTGGTGTCCAGACAAAAAGCAGGTGTGCAAATGTAAGCCTTAGCAGAAATACAGTTGATGATTTTAAGTTCAAGTTTATTTATTTTGGAATAATATTGTATCCTGTCTGTTTTGATTCATATTTATGTTCAAAAACATTTAGATTTAGTCTGTTCAATAAATGTTTATCCTGTTCGGCCCGCGACCTAAAGTGTGCTTTGAGTTTTGGCCCCCTGTGCGATTGAGTTTGACACCCCTGGTCTAACATGACCACAAAATACTGAAGAAAATAATCACACTTGGTTGGTGAAACAAAAATGCACAAAGGTTTGTGGATTAATAACAGAATTTAAAGTGCTAAACAGGACTCCATGGTTATGACCGCTATTTCGAATAATGTCAGAAAGATATTGTAATTTTGATTGTTTACAGGCTTTTTGATAATTTGACAATCCCTTGGGCTCACTAAAGAATCTTGCAATCTGTTTTTGTCCGAAATGGTGCAATGGAGTCCAGAATGTCAATGCACTAAAAGTAGTGATAAAAATCCTTGGGATTCAGAAGGTCAGAGAAACCCTCCGCAGTAAAGAGTGGTGTTTCTTTAAAAGCAGTGGCAAACTGCTCTTTGTACGTGCTAATGCTTAGTAAATGTTGCCCTGACAGAAGCCTCGCTCTTCCTGTGATCCACCCAGATGCCCTAATAATTAGTTCCATTGCCATGGTAAGCAGCCATGGTGAGATTGCGCATTCTGCCACGATGCCTATCTCCAATTGCTGCCATGCTGTAGTATACTCTGTGAAAGATATTTGGATATCCTGAAAATATTCTCTCACAAGCTCCTTTAACTAAATTTGGTACCTTAAAATACGTTAGTGCTTCCCTAAGTAGGCTATGTGATACAAAACCAGAAGCATTACCTAGATCTAAGAACACCACATGCAAATCTCTTTTCCCTTCTTTGCTAACTGAATTTGATGCCAGATCAATGCTTGTGTGCTCCAGGCATCCAGAAAAACCTGGTATTCCAGCTTTCTGCACTGAGGTGTCAATGAGCTTATTCCTTTCTTGACAACCTTTGTGCCACTACACTGAAGAAAATCTTACCTTCAACATTCAGAACACAACTGCACACATGGGGTTACTCACCTGGATTTCACTCAACTGATGTGATTGATTGCTTGGGAAGTACAGTTCAATGTGGTATCCCTAACCACTGCACTCCTCACCTGCCTCCAAGCACCATTTCTTTCTTTGATGTATTCTAAGGCCCTTGTTGGATGTCACTTTCCTCCAGACACACTGGCATATCTGCAATTGTCTCTCTTCTACCTATAATACTGTTGCTTTCACTGGAGTGTCTGCCCTATTCACTGTCAAATCCATTTCAAAGTCAATAACTGGGTGTCCTGCCTGTGAGTCATCTTCCACCTCTGCTCTTGCCAACTCAGTTTATGCTCTTTTGCTTATTTGTAACTTGATTGCTGCAATCTAAAAACACTAGGCTGTTGCTGTCACGAGTCTATGAGGCCCAAAGGGGTCTATTTCCTCCCATCAGCTGTCTTTCAAGGCTGTCACAGCTGCCCTACTCACAGCAGCCACTAGCTGGTGCTAGCATTACCAGCTAATAATAAAAATGTGCAACAGTCCAGTGTGATGGGGAGTGTAGGAAAGAGGTGAAAGAGGCGAGTGCAGGCAGGTTGGAGTGGGTGGAAGGGGGGGTGAGGAGTGTTGTGTGACAGAAGAGTGGCAGCAAGAATCAAAGGAAAGGTGTACAAGACAGTAGTGAGACCAGTTATGCTGTATGGGTTAGAGACTGTAGCAGTGAGGAAAAGACAGGAGGCAGAGATGGAGGTAGCAGAGATGATGATGTTGAGGTTCTCTTTAGGAGTGACCAGGATGGACAGGATTAGGAATGAGCACATCAGAGGGACAGCTCAGGTCGGCTGTTTTGGGGACAAGGTCAGAGAAGCCAGATTGAGATGGTTTGG